GAAGAAAGCTAAGTGAAGAAGTTACCTGCATTCCAACTGGTCTGTTATCTCATAGACTGCCATGAAAGGAGAAGTGCAATTCTATTGTACATATAGCATGTGTCTGATAGATCTGAAAAAATAAACAAAATATTAACAGTAATTTAATTCCAGAAAGTGGTATGGGCTACAGGGTTATTTCACATTTTACTTTATATTCTGGTATATTGTTTAATGTTCAGTTTATTATACCACTCAGGTATAATAGTAATAGTAATGCAAATGCACTAAAAAATATATACCATGTGCTGATTTTGTTTTTAGTTTCTTTATCTCTTTCATATGTGAGAGAGAGATTGACAGAAATAGGGAGTCCTTGACAGAATCTTGTTATGCCCCCCAGTCATCCAGCCAGTCGGGACCATGGGCACACCTGTAAATGTACCTGGTGTGTTCAAGTCAGCCCAGTAACTGAACACAGAGAGAGACAGGAAGACAAGGTGAGAGAGCAAGCTGCCAGGTCTGGGACTTGAACTGTGGTTGGCCATGCGGGAGTCCAGAGTCTCATGCCGGTCCCAAGAATAATATTTAATAATACAGAAAAGCACCTACCACTTATATGAAAATAGATATATGATTGCAAACATAATGTTCAAATATTTTTGTAAAGACCAAAATGTTAATATGTCTGTGTTTCTACATACATGCATATAAGACACTAAAGAATGGTTAAACACTTATTTTCTTTTTTTCTCTGAAAGTATTCTTCAAATGTGCTAAAATTATTATTTTCTTCTTTTCCACTGCATTTTCCAAATGTGCTAAATCAAACTACTTTTATGAAATTTGTAATGAGGAAAAAGTTGAGCTGGAAACCCCAACAGTAAAAGACAATAAAATGGAACTTTCTTCTCTAGTGAAAAGAAATGGTCATATTTCATCATATTGCCTGTTCTCAGATAACTCCACATATGTAGGTACAGCTATAGGTCAACATGCACAGTGTGGAGAAATGTCTAATGTCATCCATCTACCCAAAAGAAAAACAATGTAGCAGTTTGTTTGGAAGAAATTCTGTTAACACATTAACTTTTTGCTCTTCACAGGAGGAAAGAGACTGAAAGATAGAACTAGGGGAATTTGCTGATGTTTTGCTTTGAGTTGTCAGAGTGCATGTGCTCACCAGAGAGAGACAGAGAGAGGGAGAAAGTACTCCTCAAGGAGGCAGGGTCATGCCATAAGCCTTTCTCTTCTGTTTCTTTGACTCAATGGATTTTGGGCACGCACACACACACACACACACACACACACACACACACACACACGCCTGGCTTGTTTTTCAAGTCATCAGGCTGGGAGATGAAACACAGTGATATGGGTAGTCGGTTATAGGGGCCAACTCTGTAATTTTAAAATTTTTTAAGTTTATTCATTATATATAGAGAAAGAAAGAGCCACCCTCAGCAAGGTTTTCATGCCACCTTCTTCCTCCAAACCTCGATACCAACTAGGATCATGTCACATCCAGCATGTTGAGGTAGACCTGGGACATGAACCTGAAGCCCTCCTACAGGGTCCCCATTGTACTGCAGTACCCCTACTGCCTGAGCCACTATGACTGTGCCTGGGAATTTGTTTAATAGTACTCAATATTAGATTACCACAATTCACTCTAATTCCACAGTTTTTTTTTTTTTTAGCTATAAATAATAGCTACTAACAACCATACAGTATTGCACAGTTAAATGTATTAATTGGGACCAGTAGATAGCATAATGGTTATATTGCTGGACTCCCACATAGTTGAGTTGAGTCCCAGACCTGGAAGACTAAAAAACTCAATGCTGGGTGCATGTGTGTACATGTCCAAGATCCCAAGAGGAAAATGGAGGAGAAGGGATTGTGACAAGGCCATCCCCTCTGGGGGGTGATTTTTCTCTCTCTGTCTCTCTCTGTTTCAGGTGAGTGCATGTACCCTATAGCAAAAATCTCTCTCTCTTTCAAAAAAAAAAAGTATTAATCACTTACATTTTGCTAAGTACCATCTAAAAGCATTATACACAATTAACTTGTAAATATGTTTTGATGCTTATAAGTTATTTTACAGACTTCCTTATGTCTATTTTAAAGATGAAGACACTAAAACATTTGAGTTTTCTTGTGTTTTTAACTTTTTAAGTTTTACTGCTGGTAGATTGCTTAAGATCATTTCCCATTTGTATCCTCGTTTCTGCAAAGCCTGAGATCTCTACTACTTTCCTATGCCTGGACTACTGATGTAAGAGTTGGCCAGTTAGCCTGGAACAAGCAGGGTCTGTCACCAGAATGGTTATGACAAGGGATATAGTCAAGCTGTGATGACATTGGGAGCTTTGACGGTCCCAGGCAAGTTTCAGAACAAGTTGGGTGAAATAGTGATAAGATTCCTCATTATCCTTGGGCGACTCATTTCTAGCTAACTGCCTATCACAGACTCAGGCAACAGAGGTAACTGAGTATGTAGGCTGATGGGCGTCTACATCCAACCTAAGTTCTAATAAAACACATTCTGCCTCCATCACGCATTATGAGGAATGATATAAATCTCCATTTGCCAAGATAGAAAAGTTCATTACCTCACCCCAAAGTTGTGAAGCGTGTGTGTGGCTGTTCACATGCACAGGAGTGTGAGATATACAAGGAAAGAAGCAAGAGTACTTAGTTAATATTAGCTTTATTCTCAAACTATTCTAAAGGTAATATTTCTGCTTTTTTCTCAGTTGATAATATCACCTATAAAATATTTTAAACTGATTGAATTAGCTGTCTTGACTAAGATTTATCCTGTCCATTTTCTTTCCAATGTGTGAAGATGTTCATTTTATTCTCCCATTTATTTGTTAGACGACTTTGAGCAAATTATTTGGATGTCCTGTCTCTGTTTCTACTTCTGAAAATGTGATAACAACATGTATCATAAGGAATTTGAAGTATGAAATTTAAAGAAAGAAATATGAAAATTCTGAGAATGATGTACAGAGTACATAAGATAAAGCAAAAAGGCTAATTTTCTTTCTTTCTAATAGACTCAGGAAATATAATTTAAAGTGTGCAAAATTAGAGCCAAGTGATGGTATGGATGTTATGGTGGCTGGATCTCACATGGCCAATTGCAAGGTTCAAGTCTCAGATTGGCAGATTGCAAAAAACCCTTGGTGTATGTATGTGTCTGTGTACAAAATCCTGAGAAAAGAATGGACGAGAAGGGATTGTAGTTTGGCCAATCTTTCTGCGGGGTGATTTGGGTGATTTTTTTTTTTCTCTCTCTCTCCCCATCTCTAGGCAAACACATAGGCCCTTTAGCAAACTAAAAAAAAAAAGTGCAAAGTGGTACAGCAGGTGGTATATAGATTAAGATATTGGATCCCACATGGCTGTCTGTGTGGTTCGAGTCTTAGATTCCATGACTTGAAAATCACCAGGCCATGTATGTGTGTGCTCAAAATCCCATGAGAAGAATGAAGGAGAAGGGATTGAGGTGGCCATCCCCCTTGGGGGTGATTTCTAGTTTTCCCTTTCTCTCTGTCTGTCTGTCTCTTTCCTGGTGAGCACACAGGCCCTATAGAGAAAATGTGCGAAATTATTGAATTATGGTGTTATAAAATTGATTTTTAAAAAAGTATATGTTGAATATATATCAAGTTCATACTGAGCTATATACAATTTAATATATTTAAAATATACTAAAGAGACCACAACATATTTATTACTTTAAGAAGAAAAATCCTAAGGAATAGATGGCTGGAATTTTTCAAATAAGGTATCAGATTATAGAATTTGATACACTCAAAATTAATGTTTAATGTTATTTTAAAAATCTTCTTATAGCAAGACCACTTAATTATATTTGCTTTATCTATTCTTCTGTTGCTTTTCCTTGATTTCTTCTAAGTTTACTTATTTCCTTTATTATAAAACTTATGCTTTTCAATAATTTTCTTAAAACAATAGTAGGGAAATTTTATGCTTATGGATCATTTTACAATTGCATGAGTTATTTTAAAGATTAGCTTTCATTTTTCCACAGGTCTATATAAAAATAAGGCATTTGTTCTAGTGCCCTCATTTTAGGCAAATTAGATCATGTTCCTGGAGATTAACTCTCCACAGGCCTCATGGTAAAACAGTGATATTAAAATCATTTTAAAAGGAAAAAAAATCTTACAATATGGAAACTTATATTAAAATATCTGGTTCTAATAATTCTAACAAACATGAGGAAATGAAGATTTTGAAGGAAAAAATTGACATAAATATAGCTGATAGAATCACAAAATGAAAAAGACAAAGATGCAAGTAAATTTCTCATTTGCTAAAACCATGCTTCAGAAACTGACAATGAAAGATACATCAAGCAAGGCCTTTGGGAGAGTACAACTTTGAATTTAGCTTTGAAAAAATATCACTAGCATGCAATGACAGAATGAAAGATTATTGCCTTGTGATATTTTTAGTATACATTTTTTTTTCTTTGTTCTTTTATGCTTTTTGGCTTTAAGCTATAGAACACTATCCTCTGGTAAGGTTTTGGGTGAATTCCTAAATGAAATCCACAAAATAAGAAACAGCCAAGACACTGATGATTGGTTCCAGACCTCAAATAGCATAAAAAGAGTCCCCTTAACATAAAAAATAAAGTGGAAATGTTGATGTTTATTCTTTGTACTAGAGTGTATTTGAAGCATTTTTAGTATTTTAAATAGCAATGTAAACTCCCCTCATGGGCAAAAATTAAGTTAGTCCAAGAAAAATCAATCAATATTCCAAGAGGAATGAACAAAAAGATGTAATTCCTCCAAGTCTGTTCATTTACATTTTTCTGAAATTATTTGTGCTGTTTTTGATTTATGAAACCTTTAAATAAACATGATAGTTTGCTAAGTGAAGTGCACATAATTGTTGCCACAGCCACAGAAGTGAAGGGGTTTGTGAGAGAAATGTTCTCCGTATGAGTTGCCTCATTAGGAGCAGGATTCAATTCTTGGTTAAAACTATGGTATTTGAGCGAGTTAAAGATGTATCTCTCTCCCATTCCATAGGGAATGAGCCGAGCTGTCCTTGTACACCACGTCCACCTGCACTTCGTTAGAGAGCAGTGTGTTCACATGCCACACCACAAGCTCCCCACGATGACATAACTCCATTCAGAGACTGGCGTGACGGGACTGTTTCCCCCCACCCCTCTTCAGCTCTTGTATCACTAAGAATCTGGCAGCCAGTTCCATCCTGACAGAGTTTACAGCATATATTGGTGGATTCTTGTTCCTAGTGCATCTGCTTTAAGAATTAAGGAAAGCAGTCTCAGGACAGTAAGGTAAGTCCTGTTTTAACTATAGCACTGGGCGCTGACTGTTTGGGACAGTGTTTATTGTAACAGAAACAGAAAAAAATTCCAGAGCAACTTTGCCAATTGCTATTCAGCAGCAAATCCACAGTTTTGAGAATTTTTGTTCACATTTTGCTTCATAAGCTTTTCATGATTTATGGATTGGGGATAAATTTTATACAGAATAGCCTGTATTGCTTGGCAAGGAAGGTTATAAAAGTCTCAAGGCTAGAATGAGAAAATAATTAAACTAGACATAGCAAACATGTTGGGAAACTTAAATATTTGCTATTTCTGCTAAGTAGTTAGTATGTTAGTATTGTTGGAATCTCATATTGGAGCAAGGGAAGGTCATTCAATCAGCATTCTGAATATTTTTCAAAAAAAATTGACACTTTATTAACATTTTATATTGTTATACAATATAAGCTAAAGGATTTAGACTTATGGATTGTTTTCTATTTTGTTAATTTCATTTAAAGATTTGCTTTCTGGATGTTTGTCTTAAGGAACATGTTTTAAAGAAATTCTGGGAAACGATTTACTCTTTGAAAAACGCATTTCCTCTATAGCCACAGGTATTTAAAAAAATGATTTAAAAATACGATTTGCTTTTTGCTTCACAGTGGAGTCATTATATGGTCACAGACACTGAATTCTGAGCCTTCATTTTTACTCTGCCAAAAAATATGGAAGCATTTACTTATTACTATTCAACACTCAACATGATAGTTACCATGACTATTTTGGCATAGACTCATTCTAAAATAAGGTAGAAGCTTATTAGTGAAGCAAGACAAATCTCTTCAGTATTAACATTCTATAACATATAACTAATCCTAGGAATATGTCACCATATTTTTTTAGAGTTATGCAATTACTATCATAGCCAAGTCCTGTCAACTAAATTAAAAGCTCCATCCTAATCTTAGGGAATAATCTTAGAATCTGGCTGCATGTTACATTATGTCAGCAAAGTATTTCTAACAACTTTTTATGAGTATTTTCTAATTCCAAGTTAAAGAAGTTTTAAATTCCTGATCTCAAAGATTCTACTTATCCCAAATTATCTTAACCCAAAAGCTTGTGTCATATATTTGTAGGAAGATATAATATTCTATATTATCTATTAAAATGTGAATCCATCTTCACATTAATAATTCTCTCCCAGTGCTGCATATTGTTCCTGAGCCATAGTCTCCACTCTACAAAAGTCCAACTCTTATATTCTAATTTTTCTTTATATTGCTAACCGTGCACTTCTCCAAGGAATTGAAACATACTTTACTGAGTTTCACCTCAGAAACATATTTATTGAGAAAATAACTGTCACAAATTACTTTTAACACATATGCTCAAATGAATCTTTTTCTATCTAGCTCCTAATGTCAGTGTTAATTACAAACTGTCTTTAATTCCCACTGCTTTGCTACTTCCATTCTGTGAGGCCACTAAAATCCAGATGAGCAAACAGAACCACCTTAAATTTTGGCATGTTAAACATAGAAAACGTGTGAGTTGGGAGAACACCTAACTTTAATTTGAAATTTGGAAAAGGAATATCTTTCCC